TCCAAGAGCCCAACCGAAAAGTGTGATTAACTTTCCAGAACAAAAACTTGAAAAGGTACAGTAGCCCACATATAAGTACTAACTTTCATGTTATTTATATATTTTTTTTATTTATTCGTATAAAAATAATGAAAATATAAAAATTAGAAATAGTAGGTTAGAAAACCTAAAGGAAAAAAGTTTTATGATTGATAGCATGTACATTCAGAGGTAATTGTGTAAAGTATGATTGTAATTTGACCATACATGCTGGAAGCTTGATCCTTGGTTTTCACAAAGCTGCACTGTGTGATAATTATTTTTTTCTGTACAGCTGTAAAACAACAAATCTGAATGACTACAAGATTTGAAAAATATCAATATAGATTTATTTTATATTTTTCAAATTTTCATTGAACCTACATTTCTAATTTTGCTATAGTTAGTGTTAGTGTAGAGAAAATAACAGGTAAAGTATAAAGTTTTACTGAGAAAACTGTTTATATTCATTTAGGAGGTTCTAGAGATTTTGCAACTGAATTATGAAAACTAAAATGAAGAAAGTATTTCTTTTTCTAAACATAAAAGAGACCTTGCACTCAGGATAGTCAGAGTGTGAATGAGATTGATTCAGTAAATTCACAGACAATTCTTTAATAAAATTATTAAAAATTCTAATTTTTTTTGTATACAACATACTTGTAATGCTTGTTAAAAGCTTGCCAAAATTTCTTGAAGATACACATAATAAATTTGGAATTATCTTACATATTAATTATTCAATATGAGCTTGGTTCAGTGGACTGGCCTTGTGCAAGTAGGATTAATTGGACAAATCCTGCTTACCATGTATGCAATATCCCATTGCACAGTCTCACTGAGGGACTTTATGCAGACGAGATGATTCATGTTTGGGCTGTGACATTTTTCAGTTTCTTCTCCTTTACAATTTCTCCTTCCCCAAATTCTTCTACTGCAGCAGAAGAACCATTGGTTTCATCTTAGATCAGTGTAATCCCACTGATATTGAGACTAAGTGGACATATCCCTTGATCAGAAGTTGTGCAGGGATGTCAACCTGGAAGAGTACTACAGGCCATTTCTAACACTAAGAACCAGGCTATTTCCAGAACACAGAACTGGAATGATTAATCCTTGAACTTGCATATTATTGTAAATATTTCTCCCATACTTTGTGACTTGATTTACTGCTCTAGCCACAATTATAGCCTGCCAACTCTGGGATATATGAATGTAGGTTGGTTGATTAGCCTTCATATTCTGCCTATCTTTGTGAAACTTTCAGAAGGTGTTTTTGACAACTTTTCTCAACAACCAGTTGGATGAAGTGTATTCCCAGCTTGAAAAAGATACAATCTCTCATCAAGTGCTGCTCCCACTAGGTCACACTCACAAGTAGAGAGAGACACTGTGAGTTTTCCCTTTCTGGCATTATAGTTTCAGAAAGAACTTTATCTTTTCAGTTTCTTTTTTCACACTGGTCCCTCCACCATCTTGTCATTGTGGGATTCTAGTTGTTTGTCTGTGGAAGGGTGACATATTCTAAAGTTAATATTTTTTTTACCTGAAACTTACCATTATGTAATTAAGATAGATACTAATTTTTCTACAGATATTCTTCTTAGAGCTGACAAGTGAAACACCTACTGTTGAACAATTAACAATTAGATAAAACTTTAAAAACAATTTAATGAATGGACAAAATCTAATGGTAAAACTTGCTCTCAGACAAATATTCTTATTCTGAATGTCAGGTGATATTGTGAATTCCACATCCCTGATAGTAAATTCATTGTTGCATATATATTTATAAGAATAATTTTGTAAGGGGTATGTGATAATTTTAAGCATTACTTTCCTCTCCTGAGTGTTATATTTTCATATATTTTAATATTTTTTTGTTCATTTGTGCACAGTATACTTTTGTACATGATAAAGATTATTTAAAACTCATAACTCATGCATTTTGATTAATATAATGAAAAAATAATTAACACAAACATTTAGGGAAAATGCTACATTTTACTTCATCTCTAAAAATACTTTTAACTTTTTAAAAGAAAGGGAATAGTCTCATATGAGAATTGTCATTTAGTTGAATGCTCTCAACTGTATGCTGTACTGTGTATTATGTTTATCTACAAAAGCCATGTTGGTGACATTTTAAATGCAATATAACTTGAATGTAAAAACTGAAGTAACTTAAAGGAAAACAAATCTAAAAAACTGATCATTGTTCCTTTAAAAGTCAGAGATATTTTGTAACTACTTGAAATCGGTGCACAGTTGAATGTTGGTTAGTGTTCAATACTAACATTTGTCATAAGCATATAGGCTCATTGCATGTATATTAAACTTTGGTACATAAAAAGACTCAAATTTTTTGTGTTAAAACTTCTGAAATATGGCCAAAGTCATTTTCAAAAAGGATTATTTATAGGAATAAATAATAAAATCTATTTTATTGGAGCAATTCCTCCTTAATTGGGTTAGAGTTTAATCATGATTAATAAAGTAGTGAAGACAATAAATGTGTTATTTCTGAAATTTGATCCAAAAAATAAGATAAAGGCACTTCAGTTTGTGTTACAAAACCTCAAGAACAAAATATTTATTCCACTAGTATATTTAGAAAGTGTTAATAGCTTGATAAAAAAAATTTAATAATGTGGAAAATATTAGAACCAAAATTATAGTTATGCACTTCGTATGATAATGAAATTTTGCTTTTTTTGTTTGAAAATAGTACTTACAATTTGAAAAATACTTGTTTGGGGGGGATTCTTATAAATAGGAAATTTCAGGTTGCCATTATATCTATACTAGGTATATAAACTAAATTGATGAAAAACAATTCATTATATGTTTTTTTAATAGTTGAAATAGATGTATGATAATTTGAAACAGAAGATAGGAATTATTATGGATATTTATCCCTTTTAAAGTGTCTAGCTATTTCTAATAAATGTCTTGAAATTTATTTTCTTTTTTTTTATGCGTGTGGTTGACAGTGTAGGGTAAAAGTGAAAGGTTTGGTTTCTCTTGTTATGCTACATATGTGTTTGCATACTCTTTGTGTAGCTCTTAGCCTTGTGCCTAATAATTTTGAATTAACTGATATCCTTTACTCATTTCTTAAATAGATCACATTAATTCTGAATTCATGTGCTTTATTGAACACTATTATATTTAAAATAGGTAGCTATTATACATGTGAAATAGATATTATGAGCCAGATTGTAATTTCAGAAATACAACTGAGTATTTTGCTGTTATTTGCATGTGTATGTTTTACACAAAAACTATAAAGTAATTTGGTACTAAAGTACAAAACATTTTTCTATTTGAATGTTATTTAGTACACTTGCACTTGAAATATCAGAAAATCTGATACTTACAGATGATAGAAATAATACAAATGGTTAATTATAATTAGTATGTTGATGTAACACACACACGCACTTAACTAATTCAGTCACCTTGATAGTGTAGCATACGATTCCTAGCAATATCAAGATTTGTGTAGGATTAGAGAAACCTGTAGGTCTCTGCCTTAACAGTTTTAAGTTGATTAAGTTTGAATTTCTTTTTTTTTTTGTTAAGTTACAACTTTCAAAATGCTGTGTATTTATAATTTAAATATGCAAATAAATGATGAAACAAGCTTTATGCTGTGTATGTAATATCTACATGCATCAAAAAAGAAAAATTAAAGCAAGGTGATCATTGTTTCATGTGCTAGGCATATGTAGTAGAAAAATTAAGGTAGCAATATTAAAGTATTTTAAATTGCTTATATTTTTTGTTTATAATATGTTTTTTTGTATTGTTATCTATACATATATATGTATAATATGCTGGAATGTAATTTTGAGACTTTATTTTTGAATACAAAATGGTTTGTTGTGTTAACTAAATTATTTCTGTCTAGTTACCATATATAGAAAAATGGAAACTAAATCACATTTTTAGTAAGTAGTGAAGTTTATCAGATTCTACAGGATATGGTGTGTAGTATTACATGTGCATAATCTGCTTGTTTATGATAGACATATTTTTTTGCTCTGATTATGATTGTATGTCACATGTGACAAATGCACTATATAATTATATGTGACATGACAAAAAGATATCTGAGAAATGGATATGGATAACTTTTTTTTTAAACTAAACTTTTATTTTTTTGTGTTGCAGTAATTTTCTTACCAGCACTAATAATGTAGTAAATGAAACTCATAAAGTCAAACACTTGTATTTTGTTGGTAGCTCAGTCTCGGGTATTAACACTAAAATGTTAATTTTCATTAAAAGAGGATTATAGTAGTAGGAGAAAATGGATCAAAAATACCATTATTGTAAACATGTCAATTATATGTGTTAACTTTGTAAACATGTCAATTATATAAGTGTCAACTTTGTAAGCATGTCAATTATACAAGTGTCAACTTTGAAAAAGAGGCATGGTCATTTTATATTATTATACAAACTACAAGATCTAAAGACTAGGTAATTTCAATAGCTACAATAAATAAAACTGCTATGTTTTTAATGGATCTTGGGTAGGGAATTATACAATCATTTATGGTTGTTAATTGTTTTGTTTTAAAGTTGGATAATGGTTAAGAGATTATCATCAAAATGTTTATAAATTATGTTTAAGTTATAAATATGATTGATATGGATCAAGATTAAATATCAAAAACCAGGCATGATTTGTACATAAGTAACTGTCATAATTTCTACTTGTTTCATGTTTTAAACTTTCCATGTAGATTTTCAATAAAGAGAGTAGTGTCACATATACTATTTTTTAAGAAAAGTTTTTACAAAACATACTATTTGAATACATTTTCTGGGTAATCTCTTTCAGTTAACTTTATGTTACAGCACTTAGATAAGTGAATATTTTTTTAAAGACTACTGAACTTTAGAGATTAATAGGCTGACGTACAGTTATAATCAAATAATAATTACTTATTTGGATCATTTACTTGTTTCAGTTGAGAAATTCCTAGCAGAAGCCAAAGAACAGTTTGAAATAAAATGGAACAATCCCAGCAAGGTAATTGCATTTTTCCTTAATTCAGCTAACTTGACAGTTCATTCATACACAAGGGGAAACCCCATCTGTGAGGAAAGGTTTCTAAATTAAGGTATCATAACCATACAAATTTTAAGTGAACATTACCTTCTAGTTGCCATTTGATTTTACTTACTTAAAACTGTAGTCTCTGGTAAGGAAAGGAAGGATTAATTGCCTAATAACATAGGCAGTATTTTTTTTTTTATAATAAATAATCAGAGTGAAAAGTTAAACTTTTACATGGATATAGGAATCATAAAAAAAATCATTCAGTTGCAGACAGTAGAAGAGTATAAGGCTGTGATAAAACTCTGAAAATTGGTTGCAGTTTTCTTTGTCATGTGTGAAGAGAAAATGTTTGCATTTACATTAGCCAGTATATGTCCAAAGATTTAGAGTTGGGAAACGTGTTTTAGTACAACAAAGGACATACTTTTTTCAATGCTACTTAATGTAGATGGTTTTATAGTAATATCTACGTGCATCATTTGTAGAAGTTTAGATTAGGACATACATGTTATTAATATGTTCTCAAATTTCATTATTTTATCCTGTTGAAGTTTAAATTCTTGTCATTTTTACTTCATTAGAATACTTCATCTTTGGATGACTTTGACAGAATTAAAACATTAGGAACAGGTTCTTTTGGAAGAGTAATGCTTGTGCAACATAAAAATGATAAGGATTACTATGCTATGAAAATTTTGGACAAGCAAAAGGTAAGTTTTCAATAAAAGTTTGGTCTAAACTATATTTGTATCATATGTGCTTAAATCATGTAGGTACAAGCAAAAGATAGGTTTTAAACAGAAGTTGGACTTTTTGGTCAGTTCCGTCACATGACAAAATATACTTTTATTTAGATAAAAGCAATTGGTGAGATTTAAACAGAGTTCATGAGTTGGTATTACGTGGTATATGTTTTTGTGTACATATTAACTCTTCATAATTTTTTCAGTAGATATAAAAAGAAAGATTTTGTCAATTTATAGCGACAAATAAATAGTTTGAAACTTGTCTTTTAGAATTGTGTTTAATTTCTTATTATTCAAAATACTATATGGAAATCTTTTATAACATATAAAAACAGTTCTTTTGATGTAAATTTGAAATATTTTTATGAATTTTTCCCAAATTTATTATGAGAAATAACATATCTTGACTATATTTAAATATAAATTAAAGGAAGATGGAGATTATTGTTTTTTCACAAAAAAGTCTTGGTTGGGAATTTGTACCTGTATATTTTTTATATTTTGTATATTTTTATTTCTCCCTGTTAACAGGTTGTGAAACTAAAGCAAGTTGAACACACTCTGAATGAGAAGAAAATTTTACAAGCTATTGACTTCCCATTTCTCGTAAAGCTTGAATTTCATTTCAAGGTAATATCATTAATGTGTATGTTTAATTGAGCAAAATGTGCTTTTTTAAGAGCATTAACCCGTTTGAGACGGGTCATGAATGAAAGGTCATGTAATCTCGTTTGTTGACTTGCATTCAAAATTTTATTGAACCATTATTTTATGAACTTATGTCAATAGGTTTGGTATCAAATTGTAGAATATAATTAATATTTTAGTACTATACATTACTGAATTTATTAATTTAAAAGAAAATATTAAAAAACACAGATAAACATTGATTTTTGTGTTCAAATTAGATGCTTGTGAAGTCAAAATACTAAGTCTATAGTTTTGTACAAATTAGAAACCCAAATTACTGATATTTACAAGCTAGAATATAAAATAAGAATATCACCTCTTCTACTTGCAAATATATTGCTCATGTAATAAGTTAAACACAGCAGCACCCCACCCACCTCTTTCTATTTTTGGAAATACTCCCTTATTTACACTTACTTCTATATATGACATGAATAATCAATCGGAAGCTCAGTATGTCCCCTTAGTGGCTTTCTCAGCCATTTTAACAGGCTTGGACACCATTTCTTTCTTTTGAACCAACATTTCAATGAGGTAGGGTGTGTCTTTAGTCTACTTGAAATTGCATATTTTTTTAGACTAAAATACATCTTGGTTACTAAGCTTGATAAATTATAGTGGAATTCTGTGGTATTAATGTAGGAATTTATGATTTTTTAGTTATTCAAATGTATATATAAATCCTAAAAAAGAAATTTGTTTTATATCCTCCACGTGCAAATGTTTTAAAAGCTTAGAAACCGAGTACAAAGGTCGTAACTAGAAGAGAATTGTTTGCTTTATTTCTATAGTTACTGTTCTATGTTTTAAGAAAAATAAGTTTAAGAACTTATTTCAAAATAGCAATAATCTATAAAGATATATAATGTATAATAATTGAAATGTGACTGTATTTTACAAAATA